CTCCTCGCTGCTGCAATATCGTCAGATGAATGCTCCATCTCGAGGTTTTACACTGGAACAGTCTCAGGGAATGATGAGAAAACGCTGAGGTCTGGACGACGACGGGACGCGGGTTAAGTACTACGTACAGTTATGTAACGACCAGGTGGTTTGATTCGCGGTGTGCAGTACCAATAGATACAGCCTCGGTCCAGCCTGAGAGCGATCAGATCGAAGCGGGGTCCGGGGATGCTCGCTTTGAATGATTATCAGAATATTTTGATAGCGACGCCCGCATAGTACCAACAAGAACGCGACACGCCGCAAAAAACTGCGAATCGTCGGAATGCTGCTTCAGAAACGTAGTCAAGATTCGCGCACGAGGAATGCTCATTATGTACCTTATCTATGAGAACCCATCCTTGAAGATGCGACCTTGGATATTGCAGACATCATTTAAATTGCAGAGTTTAAATGCTGACCTGAGATCTCGGAGCGTTGCACTGGGAAGTTGACGACTTGGTATACATATTTGGCTATGCCACTCGACTTGTCCGTGGTTATACAAGCCAGGCTGGTCTCGAGCCTAATACATATTACCTGTGAGATAGTCAGAGTCGTAAATGTAGAGACAAGTTACATAGTGTAGGGGGCAGAACTACTTGGATTTAATTCTGCCGGTTGTAACCGGCAAAACTGGCAAAACCGGTTGTTTTGCCAGGACCTGTAGCTAGGGCGGCAAAACTCTAGGTGCCTAGCTAGGCTATATATGTAGACTATGTGTAGGATATTCCTAACCATAACATCAATGTTGCCGAGTCGAGTCCCATCCGTCATCCTCGCCATTTTAATTAACCACCTCAACCTCATCTAGAGTAGCATGCGGTATTATTCCTTGTTCAACCCGATCCAACTCATCAAAAATCAAAAGCATTTCCCTCGAACACTTCAACTTCGTTAATGTTCTGAACTTCTTCAGTCCTTTAAACTGTACACGTAACACAAAGGCCTGAGGCCTGAAGCTTGAGCCTGACGGACTTTGAAGCTAACTTAGTGGGACACCTTGGGCCGGCGATTTTTTACATCACCAGCATACGACTCAAGTCTCAGCATCAACGAAGGGCATGACTCCAACTATTCATCCCTCGCCAGCTGCATGTCTGACCCCAAAAGCGCGGCCGTGGGCGTCCGAAACGTTTCAAGAACCAGTCTGAGGAAGTGAAGAATGCTAGACGGCCCCGCAAAAATGGGCAACCAGCTCAGCCTAGGGACACAAAGGATGAATGGTGGCCTGTACTACACACGATCGGTCATCTTCAGCATCTGGGCTCCTATTTTCAGCCGACTTGATTTATTCGCTAAATTTGTCTTTTATCCGAGACTGAGGGAATACTCACATCTTTGTATCTATGTGTTTCGTCAGTTAATGCTGCAACATATGAAAAACGATTTCATCTTCCTTTGTATCTCTATTTCTTTTGTTGTGTCTCTCAACATGACATGAGTCAGGACACCACGAAGGTTCCACCCTTTAGATTTGTCAGATCTAGAGAACGACAACGAGACACGCCATTTGCTGCAAATTAGATCTGAAGAACGGGTATTCATCGACGGAAAGCGTAAGAATGTGCTCATGAACCTCGAAAGCAAGATTCTTTCTCCTAAGCAGGCCTGCATTATTTGCAGGGATGTTCAAGTTGAGGAGGCGCTCACCTTAGGCTTCACGGTGGAGCCCATGGCCTGAACCCCCCATTTGGCAACAGCCGATTTGAATACTAATTATATTTCAGATACACTCTGGACTATTTAATCTTCACGCAGACCCTCGACTAGACTCTGCCACCACAGCTGCGATTATTGAAGGCCAAGACAGGGACCGCCAAATTCAAAGCCAATGGTCACAACACTCATCCTTGAGCTTCGCGTCCACAGTCAATTAATCCGAGTTTAGGTCGCACCGGACGTATACGGACGCCGTCAGCTAGCCCATCAGTGTCGAACTTTTCCCCTTTCATTGGCACAACACGTCCTAAGTTGCTATTCTCGTGGTTCCACTCCTTGCTATAACATTTTCGTCGCTATGGAACGCAAAAAGAATTAATTAGGATCAGAATGAGATAGCGACATACTGGATGTTTACTGATACCATATGAATGACAAACTATTATCAACAACCGTCAGACCGATAAAAGAAATTACTGTGCAGATGTAATACTCCTCAGCAGCAATAGATCATCCAAATACATCTCTCGGTCAAGGCAGAAAACGGGTCCGCGCGATCAACTCTTATGAATGAGCCGGGAACCGAGTCTTGTTGTGAGGCTACGGGAAAAGGTCGGATTTGGGAATGTTTGGGACCATTGACGTGAAGGCGACATCGAGGCATTGACTGTGGCGCATGTCTGTTATGACAGCGATTGGAGGCTGTACCTGTCCAATTCCCATCTTGTATATATTGGCATCTGCGAGCTCAATATTGTGAAGGAATTGGGTATGGCGAGAAATTAAACTTGAAGTGGCTTGGGTGGGGGCCGATGGTGCTCTAGGTCTGTGTTCCGTTCATTGAAGGGACGACGGGTAGTACAAGAAAACGCAATTGACTTGGAACAGCATTAAAGGCGATAAGGCACAGAAACAAAGGATCACTTATATGTATGAGCACAGCAAGGTCTGCCGGTGATGGCATGGTACACAGCCTTTCATCGAGCTGGAGATTTAGCGACATTGAATTCGAAGTTGGCTAGAAGAAAGATGTGAAACGGAGAGGAAATGCGGCTCCTCGTCCAACTCTGTCACCGCCATCAGCGCAGTCACGTAAGTATAAGATGCACATTATGCCAGGGGTAAACTTGAGCGGTTCGTCTACACCGCATTTCAGCCCTGAATGGAACACGAGGACGACGCATGGAATCGTACGGTAGTAGTACGTGACTTAAACAAATAGATGCCCAGTCCAGCTTCCGCAACTAAACCCAACACCCACATTCTCGATTTACAGGAGACTGTCGTGTCGTTTGTTTAAGTTGGTCCGAACGGGTGTTTCTCGTGAGTGAGACTCTATGCTGTTAAGTTGACCGCCCACTCACTGGTGGCTTGTGTGATACAAAGATCACTCGTGAATTCTCGCATCGCTGGGCTTGCATTCATTGTCCTGAAGCCGTCCTGCGAATTGAAACTGAGTGCCTGTAAGAACTCGTTCTCTTCAGCTTTGCTTCGTATTTAAATGATAATAACAGGCCAATTGACTCACCAGTCATCTTGTCATTGCCGATCTCTGTGCGCGTCTCTTGTGCAGATTATCAACCATCTGCCGTACTAGCTGGGACTTGGACCATGCCATCCGCAACCAGTAAAGTGCCGAAGGTGATGCATATGCCCTATCAGACCATCCGAGGCCATCCAGAAGTTGTAGGAGATATTGTGCACCTGCCTTACGGACGACGCGTCATCACATGTTCGTGGGACAGCTCACTCCGACTGTGGGACCTTGAGAGCGGCGCACAGATCGGTGATGACTGGCGAGATGGGGCGGACAAAGCAGGGGTGTCAACAATAGCATTGTCTCCAAACGGCAACACTCTGGGAAGCGGAAGCTGGGATGGAACGGTGAGGTTGTGGGACATTAAGACGATAAAGGTTATTGCCAAATGGAAAGGGCACACTGCTAGAGGGTCAGTGTGCTGGAGTCCAAATGGTGAGCGAGTCGTGAGCGGATCCTGGGACGGGACTGCAAGAGTATGGGATGTCAAGAGCAGCGAAACAATCTTGGGTTCAATCGAGACCGGGCACCACTGGGTGTCAGCGGTAATTTACTCACCCAACTCGACAAAATTTGCGACTGGGGGATCCAACGAGAACGCGGTAAAAATCTGGGGTGCAAAAACGGGCGAACTACTCACAACACTCAAACACCAGTCTTGGGTTTTCAGTTTGGCTTTGACATCGGATGGAAAGAAACTCATTTCCGCGTCAGTAGGCCTAATTAGGATATTCGACACAGCCACTTGGCAACAGATCGCCATTCTCCAAGGTCATACAGACCTTATCAACGCCATCTCCTTGTCTCAGAACGACCGCCTGCTTGCAAGTGCATCATATGATAAAACAGCGCATCTATGGAACCTCGACACAAACCTCCCAGTTGGATCTCCCCTCCAGCACGAATATAGTGTGGAATGTGCGGCCCTTTCAACTGATGGAAAAGTACTAGTCGTAGCTGGGGTCGACAAAATTGTCCACGCATGGGACATTCAGGCTTTCCTCAGGAAAGCTGGCCTCCAAGACCTTCTACTTCCTAGTGTAAATCTCACCGCTCTTCAGTAAAATCTACGCTAATATCTCACTCGCAGGTGGCAACTGCAAAGTCGCCAACGAACGTACGTGACGTGTTTCTTAATGTTCTCAACCATTTCAAGGCCGTCACTCTAGAGTAATGCTATTCCTATTCCTACCCGAATACCTGCAAGGTTTTTCGATGGGGCACGAGGTGACATCCATGTGCGTCGTCAGCGTCTTTTTGAATCAGTTCTTGTTCTTACATCTTGCTCTCAGTCCTCCATGTCGCCCGCTGTCCATCACTCTTCCTCCCACCACATTTTCGCACCCTATATTGGGAGTCCACACGTGTTCCTCGCCCGCATTCTGTCGCTCTTTCGTCGCTCTCGTGAAGTAATCCAACTCCAACAAACCCCGAGGTATGAGATCTTCTCTCGTCGCGGTTCTCGCACTGTCGAAGTTGCTGCAGTACAGGACAGAAAGGCATATCTTTTCTCGCCCGTGTTTCCATTCACCGTGGTTCAATAATTCCGCTGTAGTCCTAGTTTGTTGCTCCGCGGCCTAAAACAAAAGCAGCAGCAGAATAGCCAAGCGCATGGCCAGGGATCGTCATCGCAATCTCAACGCACCGCTACTTCGACGTCCACAACACAATCTGCTCCAACCAGAAGCCCTCATGCTACCACACCACGTACAGCAACCGTGCAGTCACGACTCCTCACATTGTTGGCTCGTCTCGTACTTTTGATTTGTTGTGCACCTTTCCAAGCATCGATGGCCATTAATGTTGAATATTGAGGTCGTAGACTGCAACTCAACACTCGTTCATTTATTCTCACTAACCGTATATAGTATTCCGGACATTCCTGATACACTTGACATGCAGACACTCAGGCTCGTTCTCATTTGAGACTGAGGGTACGTCAATTCATCCCCAGCTGCAATATTCGTACTAACCTACTGTAGGAATACTCACCTTTGTACCTAGTTATTTCGTCAGTTAATGCTGCAGCATACCAAAACCTATTTCCTTCGCCGTGTCTCTCAACATGGCGTGCATAAGGACGCCACGAGAGTTCGACCTTTAAGATCTAGAGAACGACGACGACGAGAGACGTTTTCTGCAAATTAGATCTGAAGAACAGAGGTTCGTCGACGAAATGCGTCAGAATGTGCTATGAACCTCGAAAGCAAGACTCAACGTAGACCCGTAAGGACGAGGAAGATGTACATGATGCCGGTGGCAGACCTGAGCGCTGCATCTACCCAGCATTTGAGTTGTGAAGGGAACAAATCGCGAGAGAGTACCCGTCTACAATTCGCTGGCGCCAATAACTACCGGCAAGGAGTCCAGAAGATGATGATGTATCGTGTATTCGGGTGGAGAGGACGAGACAGGTGGACATGTACTTGAAACTTTCTTGTGTGATAGACCTTTGAACAACCAGCAAGTCTGAGACTGTGAAGGAATTGTGCAGTCGACGATCAGTTTAAGTGATGAAGATCGAAGTGTCTAGACATTACAGTAAATGTGAAGAAATAGAAGAAGGGTACACGTCGAACAAACAGGTTATCGTAGGACTCATGATGAATAGTCGGACCGTCGGTGGCGTGGAGGGAAGGGTTGTAGAATCATTGGTCTAAATCGATAAAAGCAACAAGCATACATGATACATGATACAGGAATCAACAAAGTAAATCCATAGGGATACCCAGTGTTTCAACCTATACATATGTCCGCGGGGAAGCCATACTGTGTAAGGCTGATAGTGAATTCGAAGGGGAATAGTGAGCGAGACGGCATAGATAGCGGACGCGTGTATTGAGAACACGAAAATGAGTGACGACTCAGACATGCGATAAAGACGGAGACTTTTCTTGAGGTTTTCAGACGTGATTTGAGCGGGAAAAACACTAAATGCGATTCTACAAAGGAATAACAGAGTACAGGGCTGGCTCAACGGCCAAGATGAGCATAGATGAAGGAAGGAAGGAGCTCGAGGTAGATAGAGACAATGGATTGAAGGCAGTGAACAACGAGGCGCAACGAACTGATTAGGTGAAACACGATAAGGGAGGCGACGTCAAAGCGTCAAGTACAAAGGATAGAGTGACGTAGGGATAGAAAGAAAGATCTAAAGCATAAGGAAATGTATCCGATAACGTCGAATGTGAAGAGTATAACACATAAATGACGCATTCGGAATGGCTCGTGCCTTAATCTGAAGTACTGAGGACCCTTCATTACAACGAGAGAGCTGTGACAAAAGGGTTAGCACCGTAGCATATAGCATTACTGGCAAGACTCACTGAAGACCCAAGAACGGAAGCTGGTCTTCATAACTCTGCCACTTGCGTCCATCGCGGAACGGTATGATTCGAAGGCTTCTCCAAGCTTGCCAGCCCCAAGGAGCGCAAGGATCAGTTGCTTGTTGGAGGTTTCCCACAACGACCCGATGTCCCATCCGAAGAGCTGCAAAACAGGCGCAGTTGAGCGCGGGTGAGTTTTCCGGTGACGTCGTATTCAACGTACCACAGTGAAAGCCTCGCAGGCAGCAGGAGCGGCGGATTTAGCCAAGAAAGTGCTAGCCTTGACAGCGGCAGTGAAGTGCTCGATGGCCTCACTATGATGCGCGCCATTGAAAGCAATGGTTCCTAATTTGAGTCGCAGACTTGCCTGATGCACGAAGTGCAGACCCATCAGTCGGCGGACGAACATAAGTGTGATTGCGAATACGAGACTCACCACCACGACACCACAAACGAGGGGATCGACAGAAGGATCAGCAAACAGCTGATCCACACGCAGCATTGCCTCTTTGTGTCTGTTAGCATTGAAGAGCGCAATGGCCTGAAAGACATAATGAAGAGCGGAGTACGCAAGACGAAAAAAATCAACCTGCCTTGATTAAATAAAGGAACACAGTAGCATCCATGTTTCCGTGCGTGAACGTGAATGCCAGATCAAAGGCTGTCCTCGCGTCCTCGACAAGCTGCTTTCCACAGAGGGCGATACCTCTGGCGATATAGCCAGCCAACGACGACCGTATGGCAAGGGACTATGTGACCATCGAAGTCAGCGAAATTTTAACCAGGGCGTGATGGATCGTTATCACCTTGTTTGCATCCTGAAGCGCATTTTCCCAGTTGAGTTTGCGTGCCAAAACGAAAGAGCGGTTGGCATAGGAGGCGAAGTTCTTGGCGTCGGCAGTGATCTCTTGAGTGAGGATCTTCTCAGCGGTGAACAAGTCCCCTGTGATGGATGCAGTACGGATGGTCTTGGTGATAGCGAGGAGCTCATCCATGGTGATTACAAGTGTCTGCGTGAAAAAAGCTCAAATAGCGCCATATGAGCAAAGGATGAAATAATACCTTTGAAACAGCCCGCATAGACTTGGTAAAAGACTGCTCCAACTTGGTGACGGATTGTTCAGCCTTGGAAACGGAGTGCTCATCCAATACGGACCGGACAGTCGAAGACAATTGCTGAGATTTGGAAGCGGAACTTGCGGTCTTCAAACCTGCCTGCAGAGAGTTGGATTCTGAGCTTGCGATCATCGAAACTCCCTGCAGAGACTTGGAATCAAAGCCTCCAGCTGTCGAAGTTTCCTGCAGAGACCTAGAATCGGAACTTCCAGTCGCCGAAACTCCCTGCAGAGACTTGGAATCTAAACTTCCGGTTACCGAAACTCCCTGCAGAGACCTGGAATTGGAGCTTCCTGTTGTCGAAACTTCCTGCAGAGACCTGGAATCGAAGCTTCCAGTCGTCGAAACTTCCTGCAGAGACTTGGAATCGACGCTTCTAGTCACCGAAGCTCCCTGCAGAGACCTGGAATCGAAACTTCCAGTTGCCGAAACTCCCTGCAGAGACTTGGAATTGGAGCTTTCTGTTGTCGAAACTTCCTGCAGAGACTTGGAATCGACGCTTCTAGTTACCGAAATTCCCTGCAGAGACTTGGAATCTAAACTTCCAGTTACCGAAACTCCCTGCAGGGACTTGGAATTGGAGCTTTCTGTTGTCGAAACTTCCTGCAGAGACTTGGAATCGACGCTTCTAGTTACCGAAACTCCCTGCAGAGACTTGGAATTGGAGCTTCCTGTTGTCGAAACTTCCTGCAACGACCTGGAATCAAAGCCTCCAGTTGTGGAAACTTCCTGCAGAGACCTGGAATCGAAGCTTCCGGTCGTCGAAACCTCCTGCAGAGACTTGGAACCGAAGCTTCCGGTCATCGAAACGGCATGCAGAGACTCGGAATCGGAGCCTACAGTCTCTGAATCATATTCCATAGTCTTTGAATAGAAATGAGGATAATAGATGAGACGGCGAACGTGTAATTGATTGGAAATTACCTTCACAACTAGTGGCGTTAGAGCAGTCTCTTGAAACTCGCAATCAAAGCCTGAAACTTGAACCTTTTGATGAAAGGACACAAGGTGAGATGGCGAAGGTTTACATCAACAAGAAATTACCATTGACTGCATCTCTGGCTCCCACTTTTGGGCAGTTCTTAGAGCCGAATAAACAATCTAAACGCAAGATGAGACAATGAGTGGAAGGTAAACCGACTAGAAATTACCTTTTCGTTGGAAGCATCCGCACTGGCAAGTGAAGTACCCATAGGTGCCGTCCACTCTGTGATTTTCTTATCATAACCTCCGCTGAGGACGCGCGTGCCATCCGCGGAGAAGGCTGCGCAAACGACAGAAGAAGTGTGCTGGAAGATAGCGATGGTATGTTTATCGGAGAGCTGCCAGAGACGAACAGAGTTGTCGCTAGAGGCGGAAACTGCATGCGTGCCAGAAGAATTGAAGGCGATGGAATTGACTTTGTATGTGTGGCCCGTCCAGGGAAGACCGACCTGCGTCCAGCTCGATGTGTCCCACTCCCTTATGCTGGGATCACGGTCATCTCCCCCAGAAAGAAGGCGCGTTCTATCAGGAGACCAGGCGAGTGACAATGTACCGTGACTGTGACCCTTGAACCTCTTTTGGAGTTTCTCGCTGACGTAGATTTGGATGTCTTCGTCTGTTGCAACCGCAAGCATATACACGCCAGACCGCGCATACCGAACGCAGCGGACAGTACTACCGCAGTCGTAATTTCCGGGGTATTGCGCCCATGTTTTAGTGTTCCAAAACTTGACCCTTTGGTCATTTGGTGCCGACGACGCGGTGGCGACAAACGCATCGTCCGGTGAAAAGTCCAGCGAGCGGAGCGCACTGCCGTGGACTTTGATAGGTTTGGTGAGAGATTCCCCAGTTTTTGCCTGCCAGGCGATGAGTTCTCCGTTCTCGTCACCGGTCACTATCATTTGCCCATCTCGCGATACCGCCAATCCCATGACCTCACCGGTGTGTCCCTCCATTTTCTTCAATACTTCACCTGTCTTCATGTCCCACAGACGAATCAGCCTGTCTTCAGAGGAGGTCACCATGCGTTGACTATAGGGAACATCTGCGACTCCGTAGACGGTATGAGTGTGATCTTCGAACACTCGAGTAGGAGTGGTAATGGGAATGGGCTGCGTCATTTTACTAGAGGTTGGTGGTGCTGAACACTGTTGAATGAACTTGGTAAAGTGATTTTGGATGTAGTTGAAGAGGTGCGTGTGCTGAGCTTTTTATATTGTTTCATTTGACGCCAAACACGCTGGTATTGCTACAATTACCTTGCTTGACACATTTCTGATACGTAGGTACGTGCTTCTTCGAGCACCGCTATCACAGACAGTCACATCCGCCCGGTGACATGTGAACCTCGGGCCATCAGCGAATGTGCAGAGTGTCCCGGACTGTCTGGATATTCTGAATCCAGCCTTTCAGGTCCCCGGGTGCGCGGCTGTGTTCAAACGAAACTACCATGACCAAATTGTCACATCTGCTACCAGATTACGCTCAGGGACCTTACAGAAAGACTCCATATCACCCCCAGGCACCTTGCAGACTGCCAGCAGATGTAGCCGAGAGACGAATTTTCGTGGCGCATAACAGCAAGGTATCTATCAGATTCATGCCATACTATTCAGTTCATCTGCGAGGGTGACAAAAATCAGCCTAAATAGTTGTTATGTACAGTTGAGACTCACCAACCACCAACTGACATCATCGACATCCGACAATGGAATAGGCATCGCGAATGTTCATCGAGTCGCCGTCGTCGGTAGCCGGTGCACGGAATAGGATATCCGGGAAAACGAACTGGGTATAATTCAGACGTTGACGTGTGGCCAGGTGCCTGCACATTGGCTGATGGGCTCCTCAGGCTGACCGGAGCTTTGATAGTTGCGGGGCTTCTCATTTTCTATGAGATCGGCGCTACACGCCTGCAGCCAAGGACATGTCGAGCAAGGTACATACTTGCGAATTACCCGTGTCGTACAGAACCTGGCCCTGAGCAACCAAATTATTGTGCATAAACAGATCATTAGTGAACCGCATGCTCTGATTGACACTCACGTAATGGTGCCGTTTAATTGTGCGCACTGCGGACACAACATTCAGGACTCTATCAAGAATCAGATCGGTGTCACAGAAACAGGCGCGAGTACTTTGCCTCGACAGAATACAATTCAATGCTCAAGATTGTGACGCTCAGATTCTTGGTCACATCACCGTTTCGCATACGATTCTGCGTTTCAAAACGCACGGCCACCACGACGAGCCCTGGCCCCTGGGCGCAACTCCAAAAACTTTGACAGAAAGCCCAGACTCTAGAGATCTACAAGCAAGATATAGTATGTAAAAGAAGTACCATGGTGGAGGCCAGACCGATGCGGACATACAGACGCTTAGTTCCATCGGAAATGAAAAGTCAGGAATCCCGGTGGTTGCTTCCACGGATCACTTACAACAATGGGAGCTTACTTACATAGTCCTGCCATAACTAGTCGGCATAGGGTACGCCCCGAGAGACTAAATGGTTTTTAATAATAACAAGAAAGAAAATCCTCGGCAATACTGGCCTATTGACATGATGTGCAGTTGTTGAGCGTACGCAGCTGCAACATAATCAGCCGACTTATTTGCTCACATCGACGGCGCACGCTTCGTCTATGAGAAAGGTGCCGGTTCCCGAGTGCTCGGAAGTATCCGGCACCACACGTCCTTTCCTTCTTGTTCTCGGATCCCTTCATCGCTACACCATACAATCCGCTCGCTCGTTTTCACTATAATCTCGCTCGCTCATATTTTTCTTGCCCTCCCACAACTCCCAGGATCAGTTTAATTATCATCAGCCGCTGCCAGTAAGTGTAATCCAGCATGAGTAAGTCCGATTGACGCAGCTTAGCGTACCTGTGTCCGGTGTTCCTGGCCTGTCTGATCAATGATAGGCTCAGTACATAATAGACTCCGAGTCACTGGCAGCGGGATTATCAGGGGTGATGGGCGTTCACAAGTTCCTGTTCAGTCGACGAAATATTTTTACTGGGCAACACATCGTCATCTCTTAGACGACCCATCATATATTAACACAGTCGATGTGTGGAAATCGGCGAGCCGGGACTGAAATAAAATCATCAATGATGGCGCCGGTGTGTGTGCATTGTGTAACTTGAAATGAGTGTATCATATGCTAGGGATGTGATTCATTGCATCAAGTAGCGTTACTCTGACGAAGTTCTAGGCCCGGATCGCTTCGGTTCCCACCATTTTTTTTTTACTTTCTGATGATGAAGTTCACGTCACTAGTAGCTCTGATTCACGGCTATTCACGGTTGTCTCTGTACTTACCAAAGTGGTTCTAGGACACTGCGACACCATCGAACATGACCGAACCGAAGTATGGTTCTCGTTCCATTTTATCTGTGTTGGTTCTCCACTGGTTCTTGAACGGTTCTGAACGGTTCCGAACCTCGTTTCGTCAGTATTCTTTTCCAAGTCGGTTCCAGAAGATTTCTTTCATTTAGCGCAACAATCTCCTCGGATGCGAAGACCAGTTTTGCTGTACGTGTTACTAAGACTAAATACGAGGCGGTATTCTTTTTGTTCCTTCCATCCACATCATGTTCTGGTCTTCTTGTCATACTTACTACTATCCTAAGAAGGTCTATATTGTTTGCAAGGACGCCATGCTCGCGATAGGGAATAAAATGTCCTCCAGGCGTGTTGCTATGAATGTCGAGATTGTTTGACCCAAGTGGGCAACCTGCTTTGTAGAACCTCAGGCCTCAGGTCTCATCTAAACGTAATACCACCCATGGCCGTGCCAAATCTTGGTGCAAGAGTTCAAAAGTAGGTCAGTCCCGCTCGATATCTGTAGGGTCAACTTATATTGTGTATAATTACTTACATGCCAACGGTCACTGATCAGTTGGGTAGCCTGAGACAACCTCGTGATTGGTTTTCCGGAAATCTCATCCTATTGTCCAGAATATCTGCCCTTGGTCCGGGTCCCCTTTGTAGTACAGGGAAATGCAATTGAACCTCCAATAGTGATGAGCACCGCAGCGTAAGTTAAACGAATTCTTCAATCTCAAAATCAGTATTGTCAACTTTTGTAGGAGAACTAGTATTCACCAACGGTCCTTCTAACACGTCCAAACAACTTATGGCTTCGAGTCCCGCCAGCTCTTCGCCTCATCAAGTTGATGTCCGACACCCTCGCTGCATTATTTTCTCACCTGACTCACACCGATTGGTTTACACGGCGGCCTGGACCAAGATCCATATATCCAGACATCCTTAGTAGCGTTTTGCCTGTACAACAAGAAGAGCCCAGTGCATCCATTTCACACGCACAGATCTATCCAAATATTCTTTTGCAGACAAGTGCAGCTGAAACTCATCGCCTTGCTGATTTACTCAATGTACGTGGTCCCGGCGCCCCTACTTATATACACGACTTCGTCAGATATCATTATTGCAATCCTATACAACACCTTCTGCTCTGCGGCATCATAAGCCAGTGATCTCGCCTGTCAGATTTTTCGCCCCTCAGCGTCCAAGACAATCACCTACAGTACACTCACAGTGACATACTTTCTCCTGCTACCTTCGCAAATTACTTCCTTCCTCTTCTCGTGCGGACACAGCTCCTCTCCGGAATACTGACATTCGTGGTCCCTTGAATGTACTTCTTCTCTTGTTTCCTTCGCACTTGATCCGACGGTCTCCTTGCAGTTCCCTGCTACATTGCCCCTACCTCCTTATTGCTCTCACCATGCCCGGTTCATTTTTCTCGCTGTAGTCCAGGTCTCACATCTATTTTCAGCACAACGATGCTGACGATGACTTGATTCGTGATGAAGATTATGTTCCTTATACATCTAATTCGCAACCGTTAGCCACAGGGCAGCTCATGGTTGGCGAGCATGCAAGTGGCCGGTTTTTGCGGTTTTGCGATTGCGTGTAGGTCAGCTTCGAGGACATTCCGTGGTATTGCTCGTCTCATACGTCAGATTCACACTCCTGGATTATTGATATAAACGACGCCACAAATGCATACCGCTACAATATCTCTAGCGTCCTGACCATGTCCGGAATAGAAGAAAGGTCTTTGACTTGTGCAATGATATGATGATCTGACGCGATTCTTTTGTATTCTCCACCACGCTGCTGCGCTAGCAAAAATGCGCCAAAAGGCTGTTCAAGGCGAGCAGTCAATCGCAAGGCTTGATCGCTCAGTTCCAAATCAACCGATTCCCATGCTCCAGGGAACTCGCCAGGCGAATCCTGTAATGGAGACCCGGGCACAGACCAATAATCTTCCTCACTCTGCGTGTCGTCAGCAACATCAGGCAGTTCTGCCAGCCCAGACGGTTCCCCGAAGTCAGGAAGCTCGAGGAGATAACGATTCCACGGACGAACAAGCAAGAGGGTCTGCATAGTGGGTCGTGGTGATGAGAATTGATTCAACTTGTCCTTCGTGGTGATCAGCAGGTCATGAAGCCCGTCGGTTTTGACTGCATATATTTCCTGGTCTTGAGCGCGACTCCGTTTGACTGCTGTGACACGAAATGCGATGCAAGGCAGATGTAGTCTGCAGTTCCCGAAACGAGGCGCGTTCAGGTTGTCAAGGAGGGCGTAAAGTTTCAGAACCAAATCTACAGCCATGACATGTCGGAGTGAGGATATTGACGCCTGGATGTCATCTTCGGACAGAGATGGAAGGGTGTATGGTGGAGCTTTGTATGATGTAATGTCGGCCGGCAGACAGCTATTGAATTCGGATGATTGCCCCACCCAGTCCAGGGCACTGATGTCACCCGACTGAGCTACGACCTCCTGCAAGAGTCTCCCAAGTGCGTTTTGCTTCTTCTCGCCATAAATGACAGGCAGTCTGACGCCGAAGATACCAAACAATGAGTATGCAATGTCTTCCTGCCACGTGGTGACCCGGGCCGACACCCACTGGAGTTTCTCACGGGCGTCTCTCATCCCCGGACGGAAAGCGGCGAGGGCCTGTGCATCTATGCCCGTTGCATCTCCCATCTCCTGCATGATTGCAAGGGAATCCTTGTGGTTGGGAGAGCGATCATCAAGATATAGGGACCAATCCTTCTGATAAAACAGGACAAATTTTGGGGCCAGGAATTCTTGAACTGTCCATCCTCGCGTGTTCCAAGCGCTACTTGCGAGTGCCCCAGGCTGCGAGGAAGGTAGAACATCCGACAGGTAGATGATGGTAAGTGCTGAGTGGCGATACCAGATAAACATGGAGTTGACCGATTGTTGTACCTCGACATTGTTAGTCTG